AGCAGGACGAGGGGGCGGGGCTTAGTGAGAACATGAGAACTGGATGGACTCAGTGAGGAGAAGCACGCTTCGCGCGCCTCGGTTCCACGAGCAGCTGGATGCAAAAAGGGGAAACATCGARTCCACGTCACACTTTACTTTGTTAGCTCAGAAACACACACAGATATTTTTATTTATTTTTATTATTTTGTTTTTTAAGTGACAAGAAGCCAAACCCAGCCGTTTATCACTCAGCTCTGCCTTTTCTTGTCACATTTGATCAGGTGATGTTTTTGATTTTTCAGTTCTCCTCCCTTCCAGTCGCTGTTTTCACGTGTCAAGCTCATCTCGGTGCTGCGTCTGAAGGTCTTGGGTTTATTTTTTCTTTTTTTAATTTAAAGGGAAACTTCAGCACTCGAGGCGTGACTCTGCAGGAGCAGCTCGTGTTTTTACTGATTTCTCCAGAGCTGCCGTGCTCAGTGTTTCATTTTATTTTTTATTTTTTTTACTCCCCGGCGCCGTCATCACGCCGCTAACGTCCCTCAATTTTCCACCGCAGTGAGCGGGTGTAAAAGCTGCTGTAAGGTTTTTCTGTTGATAGTAAAAAAAAACAATAAAACAATCAATTAGTTTTGTTTTTATTTCTATAGACGCAGAGATTTCTGCTGAACTTGTCAGCTCAYACTTTCTGAGCTTTAAAGAGGAAACACTAAGCACATCAGCTCCTGAGTCACCCAGCAGGAGGGCTTTGTTTTTGAACATGTGACTGTCTGCAGTGTAAAAGGCCCCTCGCCCTGGAAAATGCCAACTCCTCCCACTGAGTGAAGGGGTCCGAGGACATTTGATGTCGTGGACAAAAACACATTGCATGTGATTATTGATGTCGACTCCTGTCAGTTCATCCTGGGAAAAAACAAGTACCTGTTGGTGTATTTTTTTTTTTTTTTGATTTTCTTTAAATGGTTGAGTATTTCCAAATGAGGTGTGTCATGAAATAAAGCTCTCTGGTTTAAAGCCTGTGTTCAGTCTTCCTGCAGACGCCTGCTGCTTTCCTCCTCGTCCACACGTGAAGCCGACAGATGGACAGGAAACCCTCCACGTCGCGCCGCGTCGCCGCTTTCATACGCCGCGTGTTTGACGGGTGTTTGGCGCCGACTCACCGGGCGGCTGTCAGGAGGAGGAGCGTCCTCTCTGTTTAAACATCAGATCAAAGAGTTTTAACGTCAATGAGATCAGCTCAGACATTCAGAACATGAGATCCGTGTGCAGTTTGTGTCATAGGAACAACAGAAGCACATTTAACCTACTATTTTTTATTATTATTATCATTTATGGGGCTTTTAGAGCTGCTTTGACAGCTGTTTAAAAGGTTTTGCCTGTGGTGGCCACAGTTAACCAAAACATTAGCTTATATAACATCTAAASCACAACATTGTTTCTTAAGTTCTGCTTTTGATAAAAAGCCAAACAAAAGTCAATTTAGAGGAAGCTAAAAGGGAAACCGTTAACATTAATCATAAAATCCAGTCCACAAAGTGACATTTAGTATAGCAGAATTATTCAACTGGAAGTCCATGGGCCACATCTGGCCCATCGATTGCTTCATTAATCTCTTACCCCTAATTGACTTTACATGTGGTTCTGGTCTGCTCATAGGAGGTCCTAGAAGTGTGTGCAGGAAATGTGATATTGCGTGATAAACAGAGTTGTAAAGTAACTAAGTACAAATACTTCTTTACTGCACTTGAGTAGAAATTTTGGTTATTTGTACTTTACTTAAATTATTTTTCAGCCTACTTTTTAATTTTACTCATTACGTTTTCACACAATTATCTGTACTCTCTACACCTTACATTTAAAAAAAAAAGGTAAGAAGTAGAAAGTTGTTATTCCTATTTTATTCCGGGTTATAATTAAAAAAAATTACTATCCTAATAAATTGTGGTTCCTGGATAGTGTTAATTGTGTTTGGATGAGAAGTATAAATATATAACATTCTGACACCATATTACTTTGTACACAGTCCGTCACAGCTGCACGCCATTAGAAAAAATATTTTATGGAGAGGTCACCTCCCAATAAATATAATTTTTGAAAATCTAACCGTTGACTTTTACTCAACACTTCTACTTTTAATACTTAAGTAGATTTTGTGTCAGAAATTTAATTAAGTACAAAAAATAATTGATACTTTAAGACTTTTTCTCAAGTAATATTCTTATAGAAGACTTTAACTTTTCCCAAAGTATTTTTACGATAAGATACTTGTACTTTTACTTAATGATCACGTTGAGGTACTTTATATAACACTGGTGATAAATGTGGAAGTCAGGAAATTAAACAACTCTGTGGAAGAYGGACTCCAAACAGTTAAAACTGCATCGTTGTTGTTGTTGTTTTAACTTCTRATTTCTAAATAAAATTCTTGTGTATTGTGTGTAAACATATGCTGCACGCTACATGTCGCCACCTGCTTCCCAAACAGAATATTTTAAGTGTTTAAAAATATCCATATAATTATTATTATAGCTACAATTTTGACAAAATTAGTCTGCTTTTGTTGAATTGTTTTGAATTAGAAGGTGGAATTAGATAAAATAGTTTGTTTCTGTTAATCCAGGAGGCGGAGCTACAACTGCTGAAAGTAGAAAAGCAGAGAAGGGTCAAAATAGGAAGAGACAAATTAGTCTTTAAAATTGTGTTTCTGCTAATTTACTTCTATTTAAACACTATTAGCACAAAAAATAATGCCAAGGATGTGACATTGTTTCACCTTTTTCATTTTGCAACAAACTCTAAATGCTGTGACTGAATGACATCCGTGCTGCAAAGGATGCTGGGAAAACTGGAAACCWGTTTTTTTCATGCATATCACTTGCAAGTAAAATGAAATACTGAATTCAACAAGAACACAGTGGTGTGAATTTTATAATGATTAATGCAAATGCTAACCCGCTCAGCAAAATATTAGTGGTGCTATTAGCAGGTTAGCATGTTAGCAAACTGTGCTCAGGACTGGATTTTTTTAAAATGGTTCGGGTCCTGTTAGTTACATTGCTGTGAACATTTTAACTGTTTTATGATCTCTAAACAAACTAGAAAATAAACATTACAAAGAACAAATTGATCAGATTTAAGAAGCCCAAGCTGCTTTTTGACAGATCCTCAAATGTTGAAGCGTTTTTCCTGCTCACTCAGAAAGCTGCAGGTGCTTCTGAAAGCTAACAGACTTTAGATTCCTCATGTTTGTTGTGTTGTCGTTTCCCCACAGTGAATATGTTGTTTACCATTCAAAATGCTGCTGGCCTGTAGGTAACAGAGGAAATCTTTGTGCTTCTGAAGGCTCTTCCCAGGGGGGGATCTACTCTCACTGAGACCATGCTTCATCCTTTCTTCTACCAAAGCACAATATTCACAACGATGCTTCTTTCAACCCCCGAACAAGATGCCGACTCCTCCGTAGTCCTTATTGCTGACAACTTTCAAGCACAGAAGCTGCTTTGCATTTTCTTATTTTAATTTTATTAATTTTATTTTTTTAGGWTGCGATACCAGCTGGGATCTGTTATTGCAACCTTCTGTTAAAGAGGAAACACACAAATGATTTATTTTGGCTCATTTTCTCATCTAAATGGGCAGATTTTTTTTATTTTATTTTTTTTGTGCATTTAAATGGACTCAGCTTCTGTCTCAGGTGGTTTTCCAGCTGTGGCGTTTAGGGTTTGTTTGATTTTTACTGTGGAAGGATTCCAAGTTGTCGTAAAATGAGGCAAACTTAATTAAATGGTAACTAGTTCTCTCATTTCCATGTTTGTTTGGGTCTGCTGCTGGAAGCATTTGTCCTGATGTTTTACATGAAAACTGTTGTGAAAACGTGAAAATGCTAATTTGCTTATAAAGTTACATTTACTGAGCCAGATTTTGATTTCTTTTCTTCAATTTACGTGAATCATAATTAGTGAACTGAAGTGTTATATAGAAGTGTTTAATCAATGGTTGTTATACATGTTTGAAAATGAGTCAATGATAAGAAATACGTTTGCAAGTGAAATAATCATTAAAATATATTTTTTAGAAACATATGATTAATTTTAGACTGTCATCTTCTATTTCTGACTTTTCTGGAAAAATACATACATACATACAGACATACATACATACATACATACATACATACATACATACATACATACATACATACA